CCCACGTCTCTTTCTCAGGTCTTTCCCAACCATGTGGAGGGCCAAGATGGCCTGGTGCCAGCCAGAATGATGAATAAACCTACCCTTACCTGAATACCACGTGCGTGGTGTTATTTTTACTCAGCTACCTCTTTTTTAAAATCTAACATAAATGGTGTCAAAACCCGGGAAGGGCTTAAAGTCAGGATAGGTGGGATTCCTCTCCGTTTTTCCCCCCTTTTTTGCTCTGAGGAATACCCACAGTTCTGATGGCCTTCTGCGAACCCATCTGTCTGCTGCGGACAGAGTGCATCGATACCATTGCTGGCCTTCACATCCACGTCCACACCACTTCTCTACTCTGGTGAGTGAAACTACTCTCTACGGTTCTCTGTTGCTCAGTCTCTATCCAGACGTGGTACCATGCCAGAGAGCTCCTATGGTCTTTAGCTGAAAGACCGGTCACCTCCGAAGCTGAGGACGCTTGGTTTTGGGGCCTTGGCCATTTCTCTCTAGAGGGCTCTGGGGGAAGTCGGGACGCCGCTTCTGCCTCCTCAGGTCTCCTTCACTCACCAGACTGACTCTTTGACACATTTAATGGGGTGCTGCAAATCACGCCGGAGCGGTGAAACCCCTTTGAAATGCCTCCTGTGCTCCCTGGAAAGCCAGAGCGCCTAATTTTTATGCCATTCTCAGATGTAGACAGTTTTTGCTACTGCAATGGTAAATGGTCAGAAATCTGTTGACTTTCAGGTTCTCTTTGTGCTCTCTCTCTCTCTCTCTGCCAGTCATGTCCAACTTTCCCTATTTCTCCCTTTCTCTTCTATAGCGTTTTGGCTTGTGCCCTGAAGAGTGCAACACAGGCTGGGTCCCAGGGAACCCCCTTCTAGGTTCCCTCTCAAAGCCTAGCCAATTTAAGCTTGATCTATTTGTTCTTTGCCTTTTTTCATAAATTTGCCATCTTGGCCACATGGTGGGTTAAGGGTTTGGCCCCATCTGACCCTTAACCTTCCACCAAGCTTACTACTCCATCTATTCTAAGGTGCCTTGCTAACAAGTTGCTCTTTTCACAGGCCCTGGTAACTGAGACCCAACCATCTGATGTACTTTGTTAGCAAAGATGTCTAAACCTTGTCAAAATTTTAGGTTTTGAGTTTTGCCTTTTTTGTTTTGTGTTGTGTATTCTGGTACTGACTATGTGACTAAAATATTGGGCATATGTGTGCTAAGATTCTCACATCCAATGACTTTTGTCATTGCAGAATATTTGTTGGTCAATTCTTGATAAGAACAAGGTACACTCTACTTAATCTATTTGATCTCCTTGTTGCTTTAATTGGAAATAATAAAGGGCTTTTGTAGCAAAGATTGCATTTCAAAGCCAGCCCAGGCCAAAAAATCCCTAAGACTCCATCTCCCAACTAACCTGCAAAGAGCCAGGCTGGAAGCATGGCTCAAGACTCTTATCTCTAACCAGCCAAACTCTGCAAGTGGTACTATAACTCAAAGTGGTTTAGTGCTGGCCTTGAGCAGAAGTGCTCAGGGACAGTGCCCGGGCCTTGAGTTCAAACCTCCTTGAACACCAACTGGAATAAGCCATCCCAGCAACGAGCACCTAGACTTAGCCAGTCTGGAGAACAAGGGAACATGGAGAGCAGTAAGAGGAGATGATGTCACATCAGCTACTTTGTGCCTGCCCTTTCAAAATTAACCAGAGCCAAGAGGTCAGTAGAAGTAAGAAGCCTGCCCATCCAATGTCTATACCTGCCTATTAACTGAACAGGAATTTATATTATTGCCTTTGTCACCTGACTTCTCTACCTAGTCGCCAGATGTCAGAAGTAGCTAGGGACATTTCTACCAACATTTTCGGCCCCAAGTCCTTCCTCTTGCCATTTATTTGCTCTCTAGTATTTTTTTTCCAGCTCCTCAATGCCTCATGAGACTTCTACTTCATCTAAGGACTCATGCCACCAAGGGACAGCTGCTGCTCGCTGCCTTCTCTGGGAGGGGACCAAGTTTCAGCCTTTTACCCCTAAAGTCAATGCCCCTTATCAGCAGGAAGTAGCCAGAGAGAATCCGCGCCCTATTCCATGATTATTAAAAGGCTGGAATGTAAGGTCCGCTTCTGGATGGCGAGCAGACTCCAGGCTCCTCGCAGCAAAGTCTCCACCCAGTTATACCTGCGTTACCTAGGCAACTGGCACACCTGGAAGAGGTCACATCTGCATCTGCTGAGGTCACATCTGAATTTGATGTGGCCTAAATAAGGCCTAGCCCAGGCCCAGACACCCTCTTTCCAAGCTCACTCGCTCTCTCTTCCCAGCTCTCTCTTTTCCAGCTCTCTCTCTCTTCCTCTCTCTTTCCCAGCTCTCTCTTTCCCACCTCTCTTTCCCAGGTCTTTCCCAGCCCTTTCCCAACCGCATGGAGGGCCAAGATGGCCTGGTGCCAGCCAGAACGATGAATGAACCTACCCTTACCTGAAAAAAAAAAAGATAAAGCCTCTTGTGTCCCTATCTTGGAGTTCATTTCGCTTAGCATCATCTTATATGGTCATATATACATAGCTTTGGACTTTTTCTGCTTGTCCTAGACATATTAGTTATTTTAAATAAGGGAAACGTACGTTTCTTTGGGCCTTAAAGCCAACTGATTTTGGTATCTTGATTAAGATACCAAAAACAAAACTGTAAAAAGCCTCTTCAAGAAATAGTGTTGATTGTTTAGGTGCAATAGCTATGTGCATCTAATCATATAAAATAATATTTATCAAAATGAACTCCAGGAAATGGAAACAAACAGTTTTTCTTTTTCTTTGTTGTTGTTTTTATTTTCTTTTCCTTTTGTCTTGTTTGTTCATTTATCTACCTATGGGGGTGAGGACACAGAAAAGTTAGGACAAAGGGTAAACAAATACTGCCATAATACTCACTAGACACTATGTTGAAAATGAACTATACATCTTGTGGGTGGGTAAGGGAGGGAAAAACTTAAGAGTGAGAGGAGTGACAATGTTCAAAAAGAAATGTACTGTTTATCTGACTTATGTAGCTGTAACCCCTCTGCACATCATTTTTACATTAACAATAAATAAATTTTTTTGGGGGGGGTCTGGTCGTGGGGCCTGAACTCTGGGCCTGGGCGCTGTCCCTCAGCTCTTCAGCTCAAGGCTAGTGCTCCACCAATTGAGCCACAGCGCCACTTCTGGCTTAGTTCTTTCTGCTTATGTGGTGCTGAGGAATTGAACCCAGGGCCTCAGGCATGCAAGGCAAACGCTGTACCACTGAGCCACCTTCCCAGCCCCTAAATAAGATTTTTTAAGGGAAATAGTGCTGAGAAAACTGAATATTTACGTGTAGAAAATTAAAACTAGACCTCTATATTTTTTATCTTGTATAAAATTCAACTAAAAGTCGATCAAAGGTCTTGATTTTAAAAACTGAAACTTTGAAACTCCTAGACAAAAACACAAAGGATACCCCTTCAAGATACAAGCATAGGAAACAATTTCCTAATAAGATTCCAACAGTTCAAGAAATAAAGAATGGGGCTTGGAATGGTAGAAGGCTTGCTTTGCATGCATGAGGCCCTGGGTTCGATTCCTCAGCACCCACATAAGCAGAAAAAGCCAGAAGTGGTGCTGTGTCTCAGGTGGTATGGCGCTAGCCTTGAGCTGAAGAGTTCAGGGACAGTGCCCAGGCCCAGAGTTCAGGCCCCCACAACCAGCAAAAAAGAAGAAAGAAAGAAAGAAAGAAAGAAAGAAAGAAAGAAAGAAAGAAAGAAAGAAAGAAAGAAAGAAAGAAAGAAAGAAAGAAAGAAAGAAAAGAAAAGAAAGAAAGGATGAATTGACAAATGAGATAATATTGCATAAAAAAATGTTTCTGAACAGCAGAATGAAGAGACAATGTACAGGATGGAAAAAATAGTTGCAAAGCTATTCATCTGACAGAGGATTCATTTTCAGAATATATAAGAAACTTGAGGGGGATGGGAAGGTGGCTCAGTGGTAGAGCAATTGCCTTGCAAGCATGAGGCCCTGGGTTCGATTCCTCAGCACCATATAAGCAGAAAAAAAAGCTGGAAGTGGCGCTGTGTCTCAAATGGTAGAACGCTAACCTTGAACTGAAGAGCTCAGGGATGGCGCCCAGGCCCAGAGTCCAGGCCCCACAACCGACAAAAAAAAAAGAAACTTGAAAAACTTAACAAAATACAATTAATGTAATAAAAATGGGCAAATTATCTGAACAAATACTTCTTAAAAAAAACACAAATGGCCAATAAATGTTTGTAAAACTTGGTATCATTAGAGATAAGAGAAATGTAAATCAAAAGTACAGAGAGAATCTATCTTACCCAGGTCAGAATGGCTATTATTTATTTAAAAAAATAACAAATGAACAAATGCTGATAAGGATATGGAGAAAAAAGAATCATTAGAGGTTATTGGTAGAAATGTGGGAAACAATATGGACATTTCTTCAAAAACTAAGAACTGCCATATGATTCAGCTATACTATTCCTGGTATACCAGGAAAAGAAAAAGGAAGAGAAATACCTGCATACCCATATTTTCAGAGGCAATATTCCCAGCAGCTAAGATATGGAATCAGCCTAAGTGTCTCTCAATAGATAAATGGACAGAGAAAATAGGACATACACACAATGGAGTATTATTTATCTACAAAAATATTAAATCATGTCACTTTCAGGAAAATGTATGGAACTGGAGGCCATTAATCTAAGCAAATGAGCCAGACACACACAAAAAAGTATTGCAGGCTTTCACTCACTGACCTGAAAAGAGAAACATGAACTGTTAGATAAGGGGTGAAGGGTGTAAAAGGGAGGACAAAAGGGAGGGTTCAAGGATAGTGCCTAGCCCAGAGTTCAAGCTCTACAATGGACAAAAAAATAACCCTTTTTTATGAGCATAAGAATATAGAATATACATATATGCACACAAAAGCATATGACGAACTTAAATTCACACAAAAATAGGAAAATAGGTAGGAAATCATTACCATATTTAAGACATCAGTAGTTTCTTCAAGGTTTTCTGATTCTGCTGCTTGAGTAGAATTTTCTGCATCACTTTCTTTGGTCATCAGATCTTGAAAATACTCTGAATTATTAAGAAGTAAAAAGAAAATCCAGATTTCAAAAGAATAGGGAAATACAACTGAACAGAATACAGAAGTTATTCTGTAATACAAAGCATGGGTATTATTTTACCAGAAGTCTTTTTTTTAATTAAGATTTTTATTGTGCAAATACTGTACAGAGGGGTTACAGTTACATAAGCAAGGTAATGAGTACATTTCTTATTCAGCATTGTTGCCTCTTCCTTTGTTTTTCCCCTACCATCCTTTCCCTCCTACCTCCTCAGCTATACCCTCCGACCCCCCACAACCCCCCTTACCAGAAGTCTTTACTGTCAAGTTTAGAGTCAATGTTTTTAAAATCTTTTCTATGTTTGAAAAATCTGCTACTAATAACAATTTCTTCATTCATATAGACAGATAAATGTTAATCCTTTGGAATAAATACTACCCAGGTATCAAGCACTGGGAAGGTGGGTATAGAATGAAGAAAGTCCCAATGACACACATCCCCTTGTAGTTGGCAGTTCCCCTTGTAGATTATGCCAGGTTGGTCTGTATGTTTATGGTTAATTAAAAAAAATACTGAGACATAAAGCCAGAGACAGTTACATGGAAAATTTTATACTTATTTTCAAAAATATCAGGGATCCTCTGAAGATAAGTGAGGATGTGGGAACTAAACTGCAACTGGATAAAATTAATGTGGAAAGTGTTGCAAAGGAAAGACTGGAGACACACAAAATGTAAGGTTGGAAAATACAGTCTTGTTTCAGACTTGACTAAGAAAACAGATGTTACCAGACCAGATCTGCTAGATCTTCTTACCAACAAATGTACACAATTACCTGCATTTGTACCCAAGTTTTCATTTTCCTGTTAAAATGGAGGATGTCTTCCCTTTTATCAAAGACTGCTCTGTGTATCAGCCTCTCCCATCCTCAAAGAGCTTTGTATCTTGTCTTTAGGATACTCAGCTCTCCTAGACACTACTGGCTCATCTCCACTGACATATAAATGTGCTCCAGTATTTCTCATTCATACCACAGATCATTCTTAGCTGTCAATCCAGTTGTCTGGACTACTTCATGAACAAAAAGGCAAATTAACCTCAATGGAGCCTATCTCATCTTCATTTGCACATTTGTTATTCATGCCTCCACTCTAATGCTCTAGTTTCTGCTCTTATCTTTCCCTCAAATTGCACTTTTGAGATTATTGTTCATCTCCATGATAGCAAATGCACTGGATGTTCTTTGAGCAGTACTTTGCATTCATGACATTGTTCTCTAGATTCCCTGCTACCTTTTTTCCAACTGTAAGACTCAAAGAATTTTTTAATTGGCTCTGCCTCCTTCCCCCTCTAAATGGAAGACAGAACTACATCCTTGGCCCTACACTTCCTGTAATCTGTGATAATTTTACACAGTTTCATAAATTTTAAGTACAGTCTCTATGTTCATAATTTTCAAATCTGTACCTCTAGTCTAGAGTCACATGGGCTGGCTTCAAACCTCAATCCTCAGATCTTAGCCTCCTGAATAGTTAGGATTACAGGTGTGAGCCACATTACAAGTGTGAGCTTCTGCTACCTTGATATGTATAGTTATATATTTGTTATCCTTCATATTTTAATATACATGTACTTTCTCAGCAAGATCTAACCTGATCACTTTAATAGACTGGACAGATTATCTTAAAAAAACACATGAAAAACAATAGGAATGAAAGAGAGATTTCTCTTGAAAGCAAGTAGAGTAACAAATATTACCTGACTCCAGTAGCTTTCCAGGCTCAAAAGTGCTTTTCTCTGGGAAGTTACACCGAGGCAAACGGAAAGGGACTGAACTGGGTGAGAAATAAGCGGTTCCTTTGCCAGTCCCCTCTACAGGAGGCAGTGTTTGTGTCACTGGAGAAGAATGTGACGGTGTCTCCTTTAAAATAAGCAGGGTAAATAAAATTTCTATCATGTATGAAACATCATCATAAACTTCTCTGCATTTTAAAAAAAATAATAAGTATTAAACTATAATTTTACATGACAGAATTTCTAAACTTGAGAATGAATATTCCTTCTTTCAAACTCAAGTTCCTATTTCTTGTTTTGGGTCCAGTCGTGGGCCTGAACTCTGGGCCTGGGCACTGTCCCTCAGCTCTTCAGCTCAAGGCTAGCGCTCTACCACTTGAGCCACAGTGCCACTTCCGGCTTTTTTTCTTTTTGCTAATGTGGTGCTGAGGAATTGAACCCAGGGCCTCAGGCATGCAAGGCAAGCGCTCTACCACTGAGCCACCTTCCCAGCCCTCTTTTTTCTGCTAGTCTTGGGGCTTAAACTCAGGTTCTGAGCACTGTCCCTGAGCTTCTTTTGTTGAAGGTTAGCACTCTACCACTTGAGCCACAGTGCCACGTCCAGCTTTTTCTGTTTATGTGGTACTGAGGAATTGAACCGAGGGTTTCATGCATGCACGGCAAGCACTCTACCACTAAACCACATTCTCAGGCCCTAAACTCACTTTTAAAATTTAAAAACCTTTCATTCTTATTGCTTTGCAATTTTTATCTAAGACACCCTTTCTTTGATTTCAAAAGAACATCAATATATAAAGTAGACCACAAATGTACCTGGTCTCTTCGACGCAAACGTGCTGATACAGTTCTATGGAGTGCATTCCCTGAGTTCACACCACCGATGGGCTTAGAAGAAGTTGACTGTAAGTGAGGCTCATTTGCTTCATTAAATTCCATTTCTTCTACTACACCAAGTCGAGGGGTGGCAAAAACTAGCATGTGACAACCACCACAAGCAATCTGTAGGTAAATCCACAGAAAAATTAATTGAAAATGGGATCAAATACACATGTGTGTGTGTGTGTGTGTGTATTAGGGTTTGAATTCAGGGCCTGGGAACTGTCCCTTAGCTATTTTGCTCAAGATAAAGCTCTACCACTTGAGCCATAATTCCACTTCTGGCTTCTTGCTCGTTAATTGAAGATGAGAACCACACAGACTCAGCAATACATAAACAGAAAAAGACAGAAGTGACACTTTGGCTCAAGTGGTAGAGTGCTAGCCTTAAGCAAAAGAAGCTCAGGGACAGTGCTCAGGCCCAAAATTCAAGCCCCAGGGCTGGCAGAAAAAGACAGAAAAAAAAAAAACAATCACTTGAATAAACCACTCTCTTGAGATAATTAGGCCTCCAAGCCTTTTACTTCCCATGAATGTTTTTTAAGTTTAATGCTTACAAGCCCTTACACAAAAAGTACCATGCATGATGATGGAACAACAAAACCAATATTCAAAGAATTTTGAGACATAATATTCTTCAAGAAAATAGTTATAAAAACACCATAGTATTTTTCATACACAGACTGAAGTGTTCTACCTAGTGATATAGGATGAATAGCATACCTTTATAGTATTTTCAAATATAAAATTTATGTATATTTTTGTATACCTTTTGAAAATTATCATCCTCATTAAGACTATGTCCAATCACTAAGGACTTGGTTATTTTGTCCTTCACTGATTACTTTATATTCCTAATACAAAAGTGCTAAAGGGGGAAATTAGGAAAGATACAGATTTTTCAGGGACATAATGCCCAATATTTGGCTTTTTAAGAAACTAGTTATAGGGCTAGGAAGTTGGCTCAGTGGTAGAGTGCTTGCCTCACGTGCATGAGGCCCTGGGCTCAATTCCTCAGCACCTCATAAGCAGAAAAAAGCCACAAGTGGCACTGTGGCTCAAGTGGTGGGATACTAGCCTTGAGCTGAAGAGCTGAGGGACAGCACCCAGGCCCAGAGTTTAGCCCCCACGACTAACAAAATAAAAAAGAAACCAGTTATACTTATTAATTGCAACCATTACACTTTCTTGAAAATAATTGCAATATTAATAATATACTTAGTAATAATAAAATATATTCATTTTCTATAATATACTAAAACACTCTAATCTAGAAGTATGAAAATATAAAGAAACACATTGATACCCTTACCTGTTGAACTATGAATCTCAAAAAATTAGAACATAAGGTGGGAAAGAATTGATTGGTAAAATTCTCCAATCCAAGTCCTAATTTTCCATGACGACCATCTCCAAAAGTATACATTAGACCTATGTCTAAAATACAAACAAAAAGAAGAAAATTACAAAAGGGCTACTCATATGGCTCTATTTGTAAACAGTCAAATATACTAATTTATAATGCTATTAAAATCTTCCCACCAAATACTGCATTAAATTTAATCTGGTCCATTGATATTCCCACACTCTCTACAGTCTCTGTGTTTCTACATGTAATATGTAATGAAAACTCAGTGCTGGGCGCCAGTGGCTCACACCTGTAATTCTAGCTACTCAGGAGGCTGAGATCTGAGGATCACAGTTCAAAGCCAGCCCAGGCAGGAAAGTCTGTGAGACTCTTATCTCCAATAAACCATTAGAAAACCGGAAGTGGCGCTGTGGCTCAAGTGGTAGAGCGCTTGCCTTGAGCTGAAGAGCACAAGGACAGCGCCAAGCCCAGAGTTCAAGCCCCACGACCGACAAAAAAAAAAGGAAAAAAGAAAACTCAGCATAAACAACTAAACCATGGTGGTTTGTGAAGGTGAGTTGTTGTAATAGAAGAGATTTGTGGGGGCTGGGAAGGTGGCTCAGTGGTAGAGCACTTGCCTTGCATGCCTGAGGCCCTGGGTTCAATTCCTCAGCACCACATAAGCAAAAAAAAAAAAGGGAAAAAAAGCCGGAAGTGGCACTGTGGCTCAAGAGGTAGAGTGCTCGCCTTGAGCTGAAGAGCTGAAGGACAGCGCCCAGGCCCAGAGTTCAGGCCCCACGAAAAAAAAAAAAAGAAGAAGAAGAGATTTGTGGAACAGCAGCACAATACAGTGCTGAATCTTGTCATATATACTCTATCTATCTATCTATCTATCTATCTATCTATCTATCTATCTATCTATCTATCTATGATACATGTCATCAATCTAAAATAGGTAGATTGATCTATACAGATAGATGATGTATCTATATAGATGACAGATATACATCATCTATCTGAGATATACATTTCTTAAGGAAAAAGAGATTATTGTATTCTGACCTCTATTTCAATACTATGTTTTCTTCTCTCCTCAGATCATTGATAAATCAAAGTTTCTTAACACTGGCACTATCAACATTTGGATTGTGTGGGTCTGTCCTGTACATTGTAGGGGATTTAACAGCATCCTTGGCCTCTATCCACTTATATGCCAGTAGAACAATGCCTCTCTGCAACTGTGACAATAAAAAATATCTATAGATTCTATGTGCCTTCTGGAAGAATAAATTTGGCTAAAGTGGAAAACCACTGATTTACTTAAATATAAATATCTCATTTTTTTCTTTTGGTCCTGGGTTTTGAACTCAGGGCCTGGGGGCTGTCGCTGAGATATTCAGCTCAAGGCTAGTGCTCTTCCACTTGAGCCACAGTACCACTTCCGGTTTTCTGGTAGTTAATTGGAGATAAGAATCTCATAGAAGTCCCTGGCTTTGAATGGAGATCCTCAGATCTCAGCCTCCCAAGTATCTAGGATTACAGGTGTGAAACACCAGCGCCCAATTATAAATGTCTCTTTTAATCATTCAGTTCTTGAATTCATTCCATAAATTTCGGCCTAAGGAAATGTTATGTGTCAATAACCATACTGACTAGTCTCCATGCCAATATCTTGGTCCCACTTACAGTAAGGTTCATGATGAATAGTGTTGCTACCTCTCTCTAATAAACCATTTTGTGTGCTGCAATAGCACCTATTCTAAACTTTTCCTCATCTGTTACATACTCCTCTTTCATCTCTACATCTTAAGTGCCTTAAGTGGCTTGAAGCAGAAGTCATGGGTACAGACTAGAATCTGGTGATTAAGAGAGACTTTTGATTGAATGTTAAAGGATAATTAGAGTTTAACTGTAAGAATAGAATGAGGAATCTTCTAGGTAGATCCTTTAGGCACTGAATCAAGAGAAAATATGAATCAGAAAAGAAGTGAAAACGCAACCAATGAGCCCAGGGCACAAAGAAGGGGGTAGTAAGAATCTTAAGAAGAGTAATATAAGCAGTTGCCAGTGGCTCATGCCTGTAATCCTAGCTACTGAGGAGGCCAAGATCTGAGGATAGTGGTTCAAAGCCAGCCCAGGCAAGAAAGTCTGTGAGGCTCTTAACTCCAATTAACCACCAGAAAACCGGAAGTAGCGCTGTGGCTCCAGTGGTAGAGAACTAGCCTTGAGCTGAAGAGCTGAGGGACAGCACCCAACCCAGGTCCAGAGTCCAAGCCCCACGTCCAGCAACAACAAAAAAAGAGTAACAGGGGGCTGGGAAGGTGGCTCAGTGGTAGAGCGCTTGCCTTGCATGCATGAGGCCCTGGGTTCAATTCCTCTGCACCACATAAGCAAAAAGAAAAAAGCCGGAAGTGGCACTGTGGCTCAAGGAGTAGAGCGCTAGCCTTGAGCTGAAGAGCTGAGGGACAGCGCCCAGGCCCAGAGTTCAGGCCCCACGACCGGACCCCAAAAAAAAAAAAGTAACATAATTATACCAGGAAGGGTTCAATTAGTTCAGATTACAAATTTTTAAAATCTATCTTAAGGGCACTGAGAGCACTAAGAGGCTTTTATACTAGGAAATAACTGAATCCTATTTGGGGACTTCTAGTTTAGGAAGCAAAAATTATTTAACAGACTCCTAGGACTGAAAAAGTTGATTACAAATAATAATTCAGTAAGGTGACCAGTTAAAAAAATGATTTCTAAAAAACAGCCAGGCCCTGGTGACTCACACCTGTAATCCTAGCTACTCAGGAGGCTGAAATCTGAGGAACGCAGTTTGAAGACAGCCTGGGCAGGAAAGTCCGAGACTCTTCAATTAACAACCAAAGCTGGAAGTGGGTCTGTGGCTAAAGCAGGAGATTGCTAGCCTTGAGTATAAAAGTTCAGGGAGAGCATCCAAACCCAGAGTTCAAGCTACAGGACCAGAGCAGTAGGGGAATAGATTCCATGTAAAAGAAGTGATAACTAGCCAGGCGCTGGTGGCTCATGCCTGTAATCCTAGCTACTCAGGAGTCTGAGATCTAAGGATCACAGTTCAAAGCCAAACTGGGCTTTTATCTCCTATTAACCACCAGAAAACCAGAAAGTGATGCTGTGGCTCAAGTGGTAGAGTGCTCACCTTGAGCTGAAGAGCTGAAGGACAGCGCTCAGGCCCAGAGTTCAAGACCCACAACTGACAAAAAAAAAAAAAAAAGCCAGCTATCATAGAAAGCTGGCAAGAATTTTCAGGAAACTTGTTACACACTTCTCAATGGCCCTAGAGGAAAAAAAAGCATTTTTAACACTTGTCCCCCTAGACAAGATGAAAAGGCAAAAAGGCAAATTTTTTGTGCTTTAAGTCTTTTATCAGAAGGTTTTATTAAAACTTAACTAAAGGGGCTGGGAAGTGGCTCAGTGGTAGAGTGCTTGCCTTGTTTGTATGAGGTCCTGGGTTTGATTCCTCAGCACTGCATTAGCAGAAAAGCCAGAAGTGGCGCTGTAGCTCAAGTGTTAGAGCACTAGCATTGAGCTGAAGAGCTGAGGGACAGTGCCCAAGCCCAGAGTTCAGGCCCCATGACCGACCAAAAAAAACACACCTTAACTAAAGCTGGGTTCTGGTGGCTCATGCCTATAATCCTAACTCTCAGGAAGCTGAGTTCTGAGGATTGTGGTTCAAAGCTATCTTAAGCAGGAAAATCTGTGACAGAAAAGTGGAAGCAAAGCTGTGGCTCACAGTGGTAGATGGCTATTCTTTTTTTTTAATTTTATTTTATTTTATTTGTGAACATACTGTACAGAGGGGTTACAATTGCATGGGCAGGATAATGCGTACATTTCTTACCAAGCATTGCAGCCTCCTCCTTTGTTTACCCTTCCCAGCCTCCCCCCTCCCCCTAGATGGCTATTCTTGAGCACAAAAGATTTTGGACAGTGACCAGTTCCTGAGTTCAAGCCCCACAATTGAAAAAAAAAACTTAAAGTGTAATTGTATATCAGATGATCCATAAAAAATAGCTTGTATTTGCCATCAATAGCAATTTAGAGTTGACTAAAAATGACAATCAAGATGGAGAAACAGGGGCTAGGAAGGTGACTCAGTGGTAGAGCGCTTGCCTTCCATGCATGAGGCCCTGGGTTCAATTCCTCAGCACCACATAAGCTAAAAGAAAAAAGCCAGAAGTGGCACTGTGGCTCAAGGGGTAAAGCGCTAGCCTTGAGCTCAAGAGCTGAGGGACAGCGCCCAGGCCCAGAGTTCAGGCCCCACAACCAGACCCAAAAAAAAAAAAAGATGGAGAAACAGATTAGAATTTTCAGTAAAGATAAATAAATAAATATATAAATATATATATATATATATATATATATAATTCCTGTGGGATAAGGAGGGAACACTTCTTTATATGCTTTATATTCTGCATAGTACTATTATTATATGCTATGCTAACACAATTGATAAATGATAAAGGACAGCATCCTTCCTGAAGGGTTCTATGGAGAAAAGCTGCTTGGTAATAGGTTGAATTTGCTATTCCTACTTTAACCAGCTATCGTTAGATGAGCACCATGTTAGAAGGAGCTTTTTTGAAAACAGGAGGAAAAAGGATATAGAAGAACTTGGGTTATTTTAATATACTAGATGTTCCTGACTTATTGATGCTTTTTACTTCATTTTTAGAAATGAAGTAAATAGTGAAACTACAACCTCTTTTGTTACAAAAGCATTTATTTACCACGCAACCTATGTTTCTTTAAGGCGGCAATAGCTATGTGTATAGTATTTACCAAAATTGAACTCCAGGCTGGGAATGTGGCTTAGTGGGAGTGCTTGCCTAGCATTCATGAAGCCCTGGGTTCAATTCCTCAGTAGCACATACACAGAAAAAGCCAGGAGTGGGACTGTGGCTCAAGTGGTAGAGCGCTAGCTTTGAGCAAAAGCTGAGGGTCAGTGCTCAGGCCCTGAGTTCAAGCCCCAGGACTGAAAAAAAATAAAGAATATATTTCTTTTAAAGCTGGGCACTGGTGGCTCATGCCTGTAATCTTAGCTACTCAGGAGGCTGAGATCTGAGGATCACAGTTTAAAGCTATATTAAGCAGGAAAGTCCTTAACTCCAATTAACCATGAGAAAACGGGAAGTGGCACTGTTGCTCAAATGGTAGAGCGCTCACCTTGCGCTGAAGAGCTTAGGGATAGCACCCAGGCCCAGAGTTCAAGCCCCACAACCAAAAAACAAAACTGAACTCCAGGAAATGAAACAAAAGGTTTTTTCCATCTTTGTTTCTGTTTTTGTTTTCATTTCCTTTTGTCCTGACTGTCTGTTTATCTGTCTTTGGGAGGGTAAGTGGTGGGGGCCACAAAAATGGTGGGACAAAGCGTGAACAAATGCAGCAGTGATACTCACTACTCACTATGTTGAAAATCAGCTTTACAACTTATGGGTAGGATGGGAAGGGAAAAAAGGGAAGACATTGAGGGAAGGGGTAATGCTCAAAAAGAAATGTACTCTTTATCTGACACATATAACTGTAACCCCTCTGTACACCACCTGTAAACCCTTTTAAAAAAAATAAGGGGGGCTGGGAAGGTGGCTCAGTGGTAGAGCGCTTGCCTTGCATGCCAGAGGCCCTGAGTTCGATTCCTCAGCACCACATAAGCAAAAAGAAAAAAGCCGGAAGTGGCGCTGTGGCTCAAGTGGTAGAGTGCTAGCCTTGAGCTGAAGAGCTGAGGGACAGCGCCCAGGCCCAGAGTTCAGGCCCCAGGACCAGACCCCAAAAAAAAAAAATAAGGAAGCAGCCAGGGCATCGGTGGCTCACACCTGTAATCCTACTCAAGAGGATGACATCTGTAATCCTACTAAGGAGGATGACATCTGAGGATCATGGTCCTAAACAGCCCAGGCAAGAAAACCCAAAAAACTTTTATCTCCAATTAACCACCAGCAAACTGGAAGTATTGCTGTGGCTCAAGTAGTAGAGAGCTAGCCTTGAGCTGAAGAGCTGAGAGACAGTGACCAGGCCTAGAGTTCAAGCCCCATGACTGGAAAAAAAAAAGGAAGCCAGAGTAGGAGATATATTCAGATAGTGGTCTTTGATACACCCTGTATCATTGTGGAAAGAAAAGAAGTCATACAAAAGAAAAAAAGAAAACCTCCAACACCTGGTGGTAAAAGCATCACAATAATTTCCTCAGCCCATGGGGGCTGGGAAGGTGGCTCAGTGGTAGAGCGCTTGCCTTGCATGCATGAGGACCTGGATTCGATTCCTCAGCACCACATAAGCAAAAAGAAAAAAGCCAGAAGTGGCGCTGTGGCTCAAGTGGTAGAGTACTAGCCTTGAGCTGAAGAGCTGAGGGACAGCGCCCAGGCCCAGAGTTCAGGCCCCACGACCAGACCCAAAAAAACTAAAATAAATTTTAAAAAAATTATAATTTCCTCAGCCTGACTATAGCCCCTTTCAAATTGAATAGGAAAAATTCTGTTGTGTGGGATGCCTTCATATGGCTTGAAAGAGTTAAGAACTTTCAAGCCAGTTACCAGTGGCTCACGCCTGTAACCCTATCTACTCAGGAGGCTGAGATCTGAGGATCACAGTTCAAAGCCAGCCCGGGCAAGGACAGTCCATGAGACTCTTATCTCCAATAAACCACTAGAAAACGGGAAGTGGCGCTGTGGCTCAAGCAGTAGAGTGCTCGCCTTGAGCTGAAGAGCTGAGGGACAGTGCCCAGGCCCAGAGTTCAAGCCCCATGACCGACAAAAAAAAAAAAAAGAACTTTCAAACATACAATTTCAAAAACAATTCCATGTTTCTTCCAAAGTATACCATAATGACTTATTTTGAGGTTCTAAATCTTTGAATCTTTTTTTTAAATCCTTCTGAGGATTGAACCCATGTTCTCAAGAGTGCTAAGCACACATTCAAACTGAATTAATGTAAGAAAAAGTAGTTCATAACTTGTTTTTGCCAGTCCAGGGGCTTGAACTAAGGGCCTGGGTGCTGTCCTTAAGCCTCTTTGTGATTAAGGCTAGCACTTTACCTCTTGAGCCACAGCACCACAGATGACTTTTTCTGAGTAATTTATTAGAGATAAGTATCTCATTGACTTTTCTGCCCACATTGGCTTCGAACTGTGATCCTCAGATCTTAGCCTCCTGAGTAGGTAGGATTACAGGTGAGACTCATCAGTGCTTGGCATTCAAAACTTTATACTGTGGAACAGTAATCAAATAATTCCATTTTTCACAATCCTTAATTCCTTTAAGTGTGTTTGTTCCATGTATTCTTTTATTGTGATAATATAAACCCAGATCTGTAAATGTAAAACAGATGATTTAATACATACCTGTCATCACAGCTGTGTGATTTTCTCCGCAGGAAACAAAAGTTATTTTCTGATCCTTAATATGTTCAACAACTTTGGGTTCTGGAGTCTCAAAAAGAGCAGTGCCGAGGCCTAGTTGACCAAATTGTCCCAGTCCAAAGGTATATACAGTTTTCTCTAAAAGGAAAAAGCCAAAAATCAAGTAAAGGATTGCACAGAGGCAGTCACTATTACTCTGATATAATTTTTAAAAAGCGATATACAAACTTTCATAATGAAGGTTAACTGCCTTTCAAAAGAAATATCCGCATAACAATATTAATACTAGCCAGGTGCTAGTGGCTCACACCTGTAATCCTGGCTGAGATCTGAGGATCATGATTCAAAGCTAGTCCAGGCGCAAAAGTCCATGAGACTCTTATCTCTGATAAACCACCAGAAAACCAGAAGTGGCTCTGTGGCTCAAGTGGTAGAGCACTCACCTTGAGCTGAACAGCTCAGGGACAGTGCCCAGGCCCAGAGTTCAAGCCCCATGACTGACAAAAAAAATAGAATATGAATACTGATGTATAAACGTTTCACTGCTGAAGAGACATGCAGTTGTAAAAACCATGAGTCTACTTTTATGTTTTTCTTTTTTTTTGCCAGTCCTGGGGCTTGAACTTAGGGCCTATGTACTATCCCTGAGCTTCTTTGTGCTCAAGGCTAGTGCTCTACCACTTGAACCAAAATACCACTTCAGGCTTTTTCTGAGTAGTTTTATTAGAGATAAGACTTTTCTTCCTTAGCTGGGGGTAGGTGGCTCACACCTGTAATCCTAGCTACTCAGGAGGCTGAGATATCAGGATCATAGTTCAAAACCAGCCTGGGCAAGAATGGGCAAAAATGTTCAGGAGACGCTTATCCCCAGTAAAACACACAGAAAACCGGAAGTGGCATTGTGGCTCAAACAGTAGAGTGCTCACTTTGATGTTTTGTTTTTTGGTTTTTTTTTAGGGGGGGGGGTCCGGTCGTGGGGCCTGGGCGCTGTCCCTCAGCTCTTCAGCTCAAGGCTAGCGCTCTACCACTTGAGCCACAGCGCCACTTCTGGCTTTTTTCTTTTTGCTTATGTGGTACGGAGGAATCGAACCCAGGGCCTCAGGAATGCAAGGCAAGCACTCTACCACTGAGCTACCTTCTCAGCCCTTAGAGTGCTCACTTTGAGAAGAAGAGCTGAGGGCCAGCGCCCAGACCCAGAGTTCAAGCCCCACAGCAGACTTTTCTTACAAGACTGGCTTAGATCCTTAGATCCTTAGATCTCTGCCTCCTAAGTAGCTAGGATTACAGGCATGACCCACTGGTGCCCCCTAATTTTATCTTTTATACACAGCCATAAAAGGTTTTATTATAAGCAAACAGGACATAAAATATGTAAACTTTTTTCATTGTAAACTAATTCCTTTCACTGTCACAAGTAAAACAATAAATAGTGTTTTCTACAAAAAACAAATTGCTTTTAGTTGGAGTTAATAATCTATTATATAAGACATAGTTTCTGGGTCCAGTCGTGGGCCTGAACACTGGGCCTGGGCGCTGTCCCTGCTCTTCAGCTCAAGGCTAGTGCTCTACCACTTGAGCCACAATGCCACTTCTGGCTTTTTTTTCTTCTTATGTGGTGCTGAGGAATCGAAATCCTTGCATAGGACAGAACTATACACTAACCACAGGAATAAAAAGTGAGAATCTTAATGGAAAGACATGGCCAGCTGCCATGAATGATCTGAAAGGGTCATACTCACAAACACTGAGAATAGAATGGTGATTATCTGGAGCTGGGACATGAGATTTGAGGGCATAAGAGATGTACAATGGACACAAAATTTCAGAGATCTGTTGTACAGCACCGTGCCTACATACAACAATATTATATATATAATTCAAAATCTATTTGGAAGTTATGCCTCATTGTAGTGTTGTTATAACAATAAAAAGATTTATTTTAATGTCATTAGCAATCGCAGACAGCAGAGAATATAACAGTATGTTCCACACATACCTGTGAGAACAATAGTGTGCCCTCCACCACAGGCTACTTGTAACACCTTTTCAGCAATTCCAGTCACCAGCTGGGGTGTTCTGTGGTTGGCCAGCAGCTTACTGGGAAGGCCTAATTTCCCATGCTCAGGTTCCCCAAATGTGTAAAGTTCACCATCCGCTATTGAAGGCAGAGTAGAGTGATGAGTGTTGACACAGACATGAACAAAATACTGGCTTTTAGTACATATTTTCATGCTCAACAATGTTAAGACAGTGACAAAAACAAGAGTGGAATGTAATTGTTGTAAGTTAAGATAAACAATCCTACTTGTATCCCTAACAGCTAAAGCAGAGTTTACAAGTAAAATTAACTTGCTCCATCACTGGATAATTATCATCAGGGATACAGTAGTAAACAATATCAACAAAGACAGGTCTAATTGACTACCAATTGACTACTAGAACCAGTCAATTAGCACTGTCCTAAACCTGAATTGTGATCCACAGAATAAAGAGTAAGTATATAAAATAAAGATATAGAGAGATGCCTAAGGAAGTCCATAAAATTACATTAACAAGGTGTTTTTATTGTTAGAAAAACCATCAATCTCATGGAAAAGCCATGATTGTATTTCTATTACTAGTACAGATGAAGACAATAATAGAGTCAAATACTTTCAATACTTTCAGGCATAAAAGATTGCTAGTGAATCTAAGAAAGAGAAAAACTGGAGATACTTAGAAAAGCCCTATCAAAAGGACTCTTTTTCATATTGCACTCTTCTTGTCTAATTTTCATTCTGACTCCCCACAAGGAAATCCTATGACCCACTTATTTGAAACAATAAAAAAAAATAATCAGGAGTAGGTAGGTCAAAGTATAGAAGTAAGAGGGTCTGGAAGAAAGTGGCCCATTGATCTTGTTTTTAATATCAAAAGGGTTTAAAAATTGAAAATATAGCTGTCACTTAAAATGCTAACATGTCAGATAATTTGAAATTATAAAATACTCATTATAGAAATGGGAAAATACTGTGACCTAAAACATATCCAAATCATTTCATTTCATGGACCAAGGCATTATTTCTTTTTTGCCAGTCCTGGAGCTTAAACTCAGGGCCTGGGCTCTGTCCCTTAACTTCTTTTGCTCAAGACTAGCACTCTACCACTTGAGCCACAGAGCCACTTCTGTATTTTTCTCTTTATGTGGTACTGTGGAATCAAATCCAGGGCTTCATGCATGCTAGGTAAGCACTGTAACACTAAGCCACATTCCCAGCCCTGCATTATTTCATTACTCATTTAGTAATAACTTAGAAAGGAGAGATGATATGTGCATTCATTATATCATTCTGTCTTACTTGTTACAAAGGCTGAATGGTAATATCCACAAGAGATCCAGATAATTGGTTTCCCAACAGTTACTTGATGAGGAACACACACATTACTTATATTTTTTAAGCCAAGTTGTCCTTCTGAATTGTCACCCCACATGAAAAGTTTTCCATCCTCTACAAAGAATAAATGGGGAGAACAGGTTTTAAAAAGTAAATGTCGGTGGGGGAGGCTGGGAAGGGAGGTGAAGAGTAAACAAAGGAGGAGGTTGCAATGCTTGGTAAGAAATGTACGCATTATCCTGCCCATGTAATTGTAACCCCTCTGTAGTATGTTCACAAATAAAATAAAATAAAAAAATTAACATGATATATTACAAAAAAAAGTAGTGGGGCTTTAAAGGTAGTTATAGTTCCAACAGATCATTTTTTTCTCTTCTGACTTCAACCTTTTTTTTTAGTTTATATTCTTCTTATTTTTACTTTTATTTTTTTGTCCATAGTGGGACTTGAACTCAGGGCCAGGGCAAGGTCTCTGAGCTTTTATGTTCAAGGCTAGTGCTTTACCACTTTGAGCCACAGCTCCACTTCCAGTTTTTCTGGTGGTTAGCTGGAGATAGTAGTCTCATAGACTTTCTTGCCCAGATTGGCTTCAAAGTGGAATTGTAACATCTCAATCTCTTGAGTAGCTAGGATCATAGTCATGAACCACCAGTGCCACTCATAAACATCTCAAAAACATGTTAACATATGTCTGTCCTTATTTGTTTTTCAAGGTTTGAACTCAGGGCTATGCTTACTAGACTGGCACAATACCATTGGATCATACTCCAACCATAACTTATGTCCTTTCTGACAGGGGTTTTGACATACAGAAAAATTAAAGTAGGATAGATGTTTTTCTTTTTTTTTTAATTGTGCTTTATGTGTATGTCCTGAGCCTGGAACTCTGGGCCTGAGTGCTGTCCCTAAACTCCTTTGCTCAATTCAAGGCTAACACTCTACCCTTTGAGCTATAACACCTCTTCCAGCTTTTTTGGTGATAAACTAAAGATAAGAGTCTCAAGGATATTCGCGCCTGGGCTGGCTTCAAATCATGTTCCTCCAATCTCAGCCTCTTGAGTAGCTAGGATTACAGGCCATGAGTCACGAATCACCAGCACCTGGCTTACATCTCATAGTGTAACAACATATACCCCAACAGATTTCTAGTAACAATTTCAGTTGAAGTTGCAAGTTTAATTTTCAGAATATGCACTAATAAGCTAATAAAAAATAATACTTAAGAATATTCAAAGTAGATGGACAAGAGAAATTAAAATTTAACAATCATCTTCTAAGTACATAATCAATCACATTCATATTCAAAATATATAGAGAGAGATCAGTTATACTCTAAATGTCTTCTGGAAGGGAGTCAACTGGCAAATACTTAACTGTGATACTATATTGAGTTTACTGAATTGGTATATTTCAAGAGGAAAAGATATGGCCCAGATGGAAATGGAAACAAGTCTCATTCACCTGTTAGTGCAGCTGAAGTATTAGATCCAGCAGAGAGCTGCTTAATTTGATGTTGGGTGGTAAAAAAGCTAATTTGATGGAAAGTGTTTCTTTCTTCAGTATCACCAAGTCCCAATTGCCCTTCACTATTTCCTCCAGTAGCAAACACGCTGCCTTTTTCTATACATGGAAAAGAAACATTAACATACTACAGCTATACTGTTCATGAGATAGGTGAATACATACTACATTATTTCCTTTTATTAACACTGAAGGCAAATATGAACTAATGTAGAGAAGTAGAGAAGAGCTGGGCCAGAGAGAACATTTTGAAGACAACAGCAGCTGGGAGTGAGGAAGATATAGGAAGGACTGGTAATGTCTTTTGTTTTTGTCATCTTACACACACACACACACACACACACACACACACACACACACACACAAGAAAAAAATCTGTTTAGATTTTGACCAGATGTGAGCTGACTCACAGGCTGAGTCTTTATAAGGGCTTCTTCCTACTACCACTAAATAAAAACAGACAGGAGTAATTAGCTCTTGAAATATGCCCCCAAGCAGACATGCTATTTCTTGATATGATCCAAGAAAATCTTTTTCTTCAGCCACTTAATATTTATGTATAGATTTATTTTTTGGGGGGGGTCCGGTCATGGGGCTTGAACTCTGGACCTGGGCACTGTCCCTCAGCTCTTCAGCTCAGGGCTAAGAGCTCTACCACTTCAGCCACAGCGCCACTTCTGGCTTTTTTCTTTTTGCTTATGTATAGATTTATAAAGGCAAGTAACTACACACATTTTTTTGCTGGTCCTAGGGCTTAAACACATGGCCTCAGCACTGTCCCTGAGCTTCTTTTGCTCAAGGCTATCACTCTATCACTTGAGCCAAAGGTCTACTTCTGACATTTTTTGAAATTTATTAGAGGTAAGAGTCTTACAGACTTTTCTGCCCAGGATGGCTCTGAACTGTGATTCTCAGATCTCAGCCTCTGGAGTAGCTAGGATTAGAGGCATGAGCCATCAGTGACTGGCTATAATAAACACATTTTAATGACAAGATAGCTCTTAACAGTAATTTTACAAAGCCTTTTATTACCAAAGAAAGACCTCAGTTCTCACAATATAATACAGTGTGTATAATTAGTATATAATATATAGTAATTTAAGAATATAATATGTGCCAGGTGCCAGTGGCTCACATCTATAATCCTAGCTACTCAGGAGGCTGAGATCTGAGGTTAACAGTTAGAAGCCAGCCCTGGCAGTAAAGTCCATGAGATTCTTACCTCCAATTAACCACCAGAAAAACAGAAGTAGCACTGTGGCTTAAAGTGACTGAGCACTAGCCTTTAACAAAAAAGCTCAAGGATATGTTGAAAATGAACTTTACAACTTGGGGGGAAGGGAAGAGGGAAGAGGTGGGGAGAGAAGGGATGGTAGGGGAAAAACAAAGGAGGGGGTAACAAAGCTTGATAGGAAATGTACTCATTACCTTACTCATGTAACTGTAACCCCTCTGTACAGTATCTTTACAATAAAAATATATATTAAAAAAAAAGCTCAGGGACAGTGTCTAGGCTCTGAGATCAAGCCCCACAATGGACAAAAAAAAAAAAAAATATATATATATATATATATACATAATATGCCTTACTATATATATATAATGTACATATAATTAACACACAATATGTATATCTTTACTATTACATATTAATACATAGTATATTCTATATAATGTGTCATGCCATATATCATATATTATCAAATATAACATATATTATTAAAATATAAACAGATGCTTAAAAATCTATTATATATACAATTTATATATATATAAAGTACATAAATATGTAAGTACATAAATATAGATTAAGTAATATAGTATATAGGTACATAAAATATGTAAAATACATAATGATATATAATAAATATCATATTAATAAAAGCTGGGCAGGAAGTCATAAGGATTGAATACTATACCTGTTGAAACCAATGTGTGATTCCTTCCACAGGCAGCAAGTTTCACTTTTTCAGGTTTAAGAGCTAAATATACAAGAATATAATAAAGTATTTTATGAATATGAAAATAAATTATCTAGGCCAAATAGTAACTAAGTGGTAGAATTAAGATTTCCTTACTTATTGTGGTGCTGGGGATAGAACTAGGACCCTGCTCATGCTAAGCATACAGACTACAACTGAACTATAGCCCTAGTCTCGGAAATGAGATTTAAAATAAACTCTATCTGACACAAAGTCAATGTTTTAATGCACTGTAAAATAAATTTGCATTTTATAAAACCAACGCTGACATATAACTGTGATATAAAAGAGACAGTGAAAAAATTCTAAAATATTATGTCTCATGTAGATATTTATGATGTATGTATAAACATACACATATACATAGTAAACCACAAAAAAAGCCCTGGATGTTCAACTGCAGTACTGTAGGATCATGCTTCCTTTGTGGTCTCTGAGTTTAAAATCAATATCATTTTGTAGATTCTAACATAGAAGTAGTTGAATTTCACATACAGAATGAAGTTAAATGTTAACAATATTCAATTATTACAGAATAAACACCTAAATAAAAAAAGTACACAATCAGTATATATAAAATGATGACCCCAAACCTTTGACACATGTTGGCTTGTTCATAGTCGACTGTGATCCTAATCCTAACTGTCCCCAGTTGTTACTGCCAAACATGTAAAGTTTATTATTTCCTAGTAGGAAAAGAGAAAAAAAATAACAAATTGAAGCATTCTTCATATAAATAATGGGATAAAGCAATTAAAAGACAACAAAAAGACATATCTATATATATAATATTTTATATATATATATATACATATATATTTCTTTTTTTTTTTTTGTCAATTGTGAGGCTTGAACTCAAGGGCCTAGCTGCTGTCCCTAAGCTCTTTTTGCTCTTTTTATTCAAGGCTAGTGCTCTACCACTTTGACCCACAGCTCCAGTTCTAGGTCTGTGTGGTTAATCGGAGATAAGAATCTCCTAAGTAGCTAAGTTTACCGGCATGAGCCACCAGTGCTCAGCAAAAAGACATTTTAAAATACTGCTTTTACCTTGCTGATGTGTAATTATGTGTAATTTTTCTAAGACTATACAGTAACATTTTGTATTTATAGTGAAATAGATTTATTACAAGGAATTTGTTATGTGTAGAAAATCACAGCCGGGCGTCAGTGGCTCAGGCCTGTAATCCTAGCTACTCAGGAGGCTGAGATCGGAGGAACATGGTTCAAAGCCAGCGACGGGGGGCTGGGAAGGTGGCTCAATGGTAGAGCGCTTGCTTTGCATGCCTGAGGCCCTGAGTTCGATTCCTCAGCACCACATAAGCAAAAAGAAAAAAGCCGGAAGTGGCGCTGTGGCTCAAGTGGTAGAGCGCTAGCCTTGAGCTGAAGAGCTGAGGGACAGCGCCCAGCCCAGAGTTCGGGCCCCACAACCAGACCCAAAAAAAAAAAAAAAGCCAGCGAGGGCAGAAAAGTCCATGAGACTCTTTTCTCCAATAAACCACTAGAAAACCGGAAGTGGCACTGTGACTCAAGCAGTAGAGGGCTTGCCTTGAGCTGAAGAGCGCAGGGACAGCACCAGGCCCAGAGTTCGAGCCCCATGACTGAACTGACAAAAGAAAAAAATCACAAAGGTAACAAAGTTGGAAAGACTAAATGACTTGATTTGTGAAGAATTCTTCTCTGACAGGGGGGAGGATTGAGTGGGGGGGGGAGGATGGGAAGGGATGGGAAGGGGAAACAAAGGAGGAGGCTACAATGCTTGATAAGAAATGTACTCACTATCTTGCCCATGTAATTGTAACCCCTCTGTACAGTATTTTCACAATTAAAAAAAAAAAGAATTCTTCTCTGACAAAGGAAAACCACTATGTATCTTCAATATGTTTAAACAGCGCATATGTAATATTTAGGACCTTCTAAGTATTATCTTAATTTAGGACTATAATACCTGTAACAATAGCAGTATGTTCATCTCCACATGAAAGACATACAGGAACGTCATTCTTAAACCAGAATTTGCTGGGAATATTTTCAGCAAATTTACTTTTTCCAAATGTAAACAGAGCACCCGAATCTGCAAGTACAAAACAGTTTCTATTACACAAATTTTACTGTGCTGCCTTTTATTAAAATACATTTTCAGTAATAATGTCCATACAAAGTCCTTGAATTGTAATAGCTTTGAGTCTACTTGGGCCTGGTTTTAAGTCATTCTTGGTTTTTTTTTGCGGGGGAGGGGGGCTGAACTCTGGGCCTAGGTGCTGTCCCTCAGCTCTTCAGCTTAAGGCTAGTGTTCTACCACTTGAGCCACAGCGCCACTTCTGGCTTTTTTTTTCTTTTTGCTTATGTGGTACTGAGGAATCGAACCCAGGGCCTCATGCATGCAAGGCAGCGCTCTGCCACTAAGCCAACTTCCCAGCCCTTAAGTCATTCTTTGACCTTCATTTAGTCCTCCCCTTCAGACTTCATTCTAATTTGACCAATGGAATCCACTAAATTGAACAGGTATTATTTATTTACTGATAGGAAGTATGCAATGAAACTTCACAAAGTATCACCTGTAGTAATAGTTTGCTGCCAGTAGATGAACTTTTGTTCAATAGGCTGGTACAGGGCTGGAGAGGTGGCTCAGTGGTAGAACGCTTGCCTTGCATGCCTGAGGCCTTGAGTTCCATTCCTCAGCACCACATAAGCAAAAAGAAAAAAAAAGCCGGAAGTGGCGCTGTGGCTCAAGTGGTAGAGCGCTAGCCTTGAGCTGAAGAGCTGAGGGACAGCACCCAGGCCCAGAGTTCAGGCCCCACGACCGGACCCCCCCAAAAAAAATAGGCTGGTACAATTAGTATCTCCCACTCTGGTTAATATCTCATGGTCCAGCCCCTGACAGGAATGTTTTTCACACTCAGAATAAATACAGAATGGAGTTTTGGGGGGTTTTTGGGGAGGTGGGGGTGGAGGGGCGGGGGGGGGGGTTGTAGTTGTTGTTTTTAACCACAGGACATTTGGGGCAATATCTGCATAAATTCATTTGGATTATCTTTGGTCTCCTTGCTCTTTTTTTTTAACTCCTTGTTCTTATGCGAGAAAGAACGTTACCCCAAATGGTTATTTCTCAACTGATAATCCCAAATGACTACCCATAAATCTTGGGGCAGGATAGAAACAAATTATTCACACCATCACAAAAATGTTGAATTTATTTCAATTCTTTTTTTTTTGGGGGGGTCCGGTCGTGGGGCCTGAACTCTGGGCCTGGGCGCTGTCCCTCAGCTCTTCAGCTCAAGGCTAGCGCTCTACCACTTGAGCCACAGCGCCACTTCCGGCTTTTTTCTTTGTGCTTATGTGGTGCTGAGGAATCGGACCCAGGGCCTTATGCATGCAAGGCAAGCGCTCTACCACTGAGCCACCTTCCCAGCCCCCTTATTTCAATTCTTAAGTGATCAATTGATCTGAGTAATATTCACAAAATGTTTTGGTCCAACACTATTTTGAAGAGATCAACTTCCTTCTATCAATTTCTAATAAATAACCATTTAATCTTTCTCACATACACACCACACCACGTGAAACCGGAGGCCAGATCCACCTTTTGGAGAATTCTCAAAAGGGGACAATCACACACAAACTACACAGTACCAGAAAGGAAAAATGTAGTAAATATAAGTTCTAATAAACGTAAACCGACAACAGTCAAATGTTTAGGCCTAGAATATAACATAAAATGTAATATTTAGTGCGATGAATAATTACGCTCAACTAGTAGGTCACAATAGGCTTTCTTTTTTTGTTTTTAATTGTGACGCTACTGGGGCTTGAACTCAGGGCCTTGAACTTGGAGGGGACTCAAGCTCTTGTTTAGCTTTTTCTGCTCAATGGTGGCATGTATCTACTTTTAGCCTTTTGCTGTTATAGCTATTTTCGTTACACAGTAACCAAGCGGCAATGGGACTCAGTGTCTAAAGTATTTTAAACTGTATAGCTCAAGGGTCTAAAAATAAATAAAACGCGCTGAAGATTCCCCCTTCTCATTGTTTCTCCGATTTGTCTCCGTTCTTCACCCCTTCCCCCACTCCGGTCTCGCGTCCGTTAGTATCAACGTTGCTAAGGTAAAAGTTACTCCAGCCTTCGAGAACCTCGTCGAAAACTTTATTTATAAAAGGAGAAAAAAAATCGGTTCCGCTTTTTCCCGAGGTTCCCCGTCCCTTCCCTTCTTCTGCCTTCGGTAATTAACTGGGGCGCGGTTAAAGCTCCCGCCTCAATATGGCCGCCGAAGTTTGGGCCTCTACTCTGACGGGGCTGGCCCAGAGGCGGAGCCTGGCGGCCTAGCCGCCCGCCCGCGGACCCTCCCTCCCGGCCCGCCGCCACCACCGGCATAACTCACCGGGCACGAGCATCTTGGGCTCTCCCATGCCTAGGGCCGGACTAGAAACAAAAGGCTGGTCCTGGAACTCCGAGGGAGTGGCTCGATGGGATCTAAAGTAGCGACTTAGCTCCAACGCAGGCCGCGGAAGCCCCCCGGACCCCCATAACGACCCCTTTGGCATCGGCTACAACTGTGCTACCGGAAGTCAACAAACAGCCGCTAGGGCAACGGAGGCGGAGCTTAGAGGCGCAAGACGGCCCCGCGTCAGTAACGAGAGGCGGGAGCCCTGCGACTCCTGCGGCGCAGGCGCAGATGTGGGAGGCAGCCGGCCGTCCACGACCGCGCTATTCTGCTGGGCGACATACAGGTCCTGCAGGAAGTCAGCGCGTTTCGGTACTGAAGAATCACAAATCTCACATATTCGCTACTTTGAGGTTTGTGACGTATATCCACGTCTACACTCAGTTATGACAACACTATAATTGGGCAAACCGTAATAGGCATTTTCCTAAACGTTCTGCAACCAAATCACAATTGTAACCTCCACCTTCTAGACATGTCAAGCAAGACATTGCATATAAATTATCATTAAATATTTATTGAACGAATGAGAGCTAGTACAAGCCTGCAAGGTGGTTAATGTCATCCTTATTTACATATGTGCAGGAGAGCAGAAGTCCAGCTCAGGTAGTCCAGTCTGTGGTCTGAACTGTATAGTGTTGTCCTCCCATAAAGAGGAAAAAGCAGAGGTGTATAGATTTGGCCTGGTGATATTATGTGTTTGTAGTCAAACATTGGTTTCCTATGTATCGGCAGTTTGTCGTAGTAAAGAAGCAGGAAACCATCTTCAAGGAGTAGATTATGTACCTGTGGTAGTTCTACACGAGAGCTGAGATGGATTCAAATAGCCCTGAATTAAGTATGTATTCGAGAGCATTTACCAAAACTTTCTCTGCGAGTTCTCATTAAAAATGGTGAGGGGAACCGGGCACCGGTGGCTCAAACCCATATTCATAGCTACCCAAGTGGCTGAGATCTGAATATCGTGGTTTGAAGCTGGTTTGGGCAGGAAAAATCTGTGAGATTATCTCCAATTGACCACCAAAAAGCCGGATGTGGAGCTGTGGTTCAAGTGGTAGAGCACCATCCTTGAGCAATAAAGCTAAGGGACAGCATCCAGACCCTGAATTCAAGACCCAGTACCAGCACCAAAAAACATGGTAAGGAGAGGGTAAACGACCTCTTCCACAAATACTCATTTACATACAAAGCAAAATGGGGAGGGGGTGCTAAGAAAAGGTTTAACCAGGATCATGACTTGATGTTCAGAAAGGTGTATTTAAAGACAGCACTTTCAATGTAATAACTAAAGAGAAGTTGGAAAAAAAATGAGAGAATTCTGTTCTAAGCAAATTGTGTCCAAAGGCTCACAGGAGCATCTTTCTTTCTAGAAACTCAAAGAGGCTGACTCCGGGTGACATGGCAAGGTTTGTAGCATATTAGGGGATCTGAAATTTTATTCTAAGGACAATGGAAATCCATTGGGTGGTTTTAACCATTGGACTGAATCAATCCATTATGTGTTTCTAAAATTATTTTTTTTTTTGGTCCGGTCATGGGGCCTGAACTCTGGGCCTGGGCGCTGTCCCTCAGCTCTTCAGCTCAAAGCTAGCGCTCTACCACTTGAGCCACAGTGCCACTTCCGGCTTTTTTCTTTCTGCTTATGTGGTGCTGAGGAATCGAACCCAGGGCCTCGAGCATGCAAGGCAAGCGCTCTACCACTGAGCCACCTTCCCAGCCCGTGTTTCTAAAATTATTCAGCTGGCCTGGTTGGTTTGTGAAAAATAAACTGGACCAATGAGAAGGGTTCAGAGCTGTTACAAGTATTCAGACATGTAAACAGATTGACTTGCAGTCCAGTGCATTGACCCACAGGAAATGTCTTGTTAGTCATCCTTAGAAAATATTTGACTCAACTCTTAGACCAACAGCAAAAATAAGTAACTCTAAATTATTTTGAAGGGGATTTGATATTCATTTTCAAAGGATTTTGATAATCACTGTGAGAAAATTGGAATTTCAAAAGACTTACTCAAGTTGTGTTAAGCTTTGTTTGCTGTAGATGAAGGAAATCCTATGCTCAACTTTTCAACATAAGCAAATAGGAGAGGGAAGAATAATTTACAGATACGGAATCCACTGAGGAAAGAGCCAAGTAGGCTGCAGTTAGTAGATGGGAATCCAGAGAACATAATGAGTTCAGCCTTGAGCATACTAAGCCAGCCGGGCACAGGTGGCTCACGCCTGAATCCTAGCTACTCAGGAGGCTGAGATCTGAGGGTTGCGGTTCAAAGCCAGCCTGGGCAGGAAAGTCCATGAAACTCATCTCCAATGAACCACCAGAAAACTCTAAGTTGCACTGTGGTTCAAGTGGTAGAGCGCTAGCCTTGAGCTGAGGAGCTGAGGGATAGTGCCCAAGCCTACAGTTCAAGCCCCTCAACTGAAAAAAAAAAAAGAGCATACTAAGCCAAAGTTTGAAAATGACTATAGAGTGGAAGCAGAAGAGGCTCAAATGTAAAAACTAAATGGCTGAGCAAAAGATGATGAAGCTGAAGAGTGGTCAGAAAGGGAGACTCATAGTGCATCAACAAAGAGGGTGTGGTCAATTAGGTCAGGTCTTGTGAACAGATTAGTGAAAACAAAATGTCCACTGAAATTCACTATATGGTGATCACTAGTGGTGTCGAAAAGAACTGTTCGGTATGGTGATGGGAAAAAATAGTATTGGAGTAGACAGTAGAAGAATCTTAAGGAAAGGCATGAGGGTGAAAGCTTTAGAGATAAGAGATAGAATAGGAAAATAGCTTTAGAGACAGGAGATAGAATATGATAAAGGGCTTTGTGAAAATTGAGGAGATGTGAGAGTGCTGAGGGGTCAAACTGAACAGATGGAGAAAGAATGCAGATTCTTGAGACTGAAAGGATAATAAATAATGTAAGGCATGAGCTGATGGCATCTGGACTCCATGTAGAGGGACTGACCTTAGCTAGGAGAGACAACATTTGTAGCATATAGGAAGGAATAGGGGAAGGAAGGAAGGAAGGAAGGAAGGAAACCATTCTTTCAGAATATACTACAGACTTTTATGTATAGCTCTATCTATCTATCTATCTATCTACCTACCTACCTACCTACCTACCTACCTACCTACCTACCTACCTATAGACTAATATACATGATCTAGAACTTCCATATATATATATATATATATATATATGTATCATGAATATAGCTATAGTATAAACCTAGATTATAATATAAGACATGATAGTATTATTGTCCTAGAAGACTTGTGAAATACTAGGTAATATATATGAAACTGAGCTCTTGATACCTGGAATAGAGTAGCACTCAGTACTGTCAGGTAGTATTTTTTGCCAGTCTTGGGGCTTGAACTCAGGGCCTGGACACTGTCTCTGAGCTTCTTTTGTTCAAGGCTAGCACTCTACCACTTGAGCCACAGTGATACTTCTGGCTTTTTTTCCAGTTTATATGGTACTGAGGAATTGAATCCAGGGCTTCATGCATGCTAGGCAAGCACTCTACCACTAAGCCCATTCCCAGCCTCCTGTTAGCTAGTATTAATGATACAGAATTGGCTATGCTATACAACTGGCACTGTGCTACAATGTAAACAATACCCAAATCTCAGTAGTTTGACACAAACAAGTTTATTTCTCACTCATGCTACATGTACAATGTGAATTGTATAGATGTTCTCCACCTGGGAACTTTGTAGCGGTATCATGTGCAACTCAGGAGCTCTTTGGTTGCTAGAACAGATGTTTCACATCAGAACAGACATGTTTCCTCTTCTCATAACCTATTGGCCCCACCCAGTATTACACACACTCTAGGAAGACTAAGAAATGGTTAATGAGGAGTAAATACCTCCACTATCCCCAAAGTAAGGTGGTTTTACTCCATGGAGTCACATCTATCATGTTGGAGAAAACTGTGTTCGAAGGCATAATTTTATGACCTCCATCTATACTCGTGTGCTCTTTTGATGCTCTCGGTATACACACTCAGATATTCTCAACAAATCATGCTGTCATACACCAGTCATCATAAATCTGACAACATGTACAAGTAGGTAATTTCCTCTATTAATTCTAGTTGTTATTAATTTCTGTAGCATTTTACTTCAACTAAAAATAGAGGCATATATGAACAAGGAAACATTTGCTGGATTATGCATCCTAAGAAAACTCATTTCTTTACTTACAGTATTCAACAAAACTTCCAAAGCTTGCAGTTTGAGTTGCATTGCAGTGCAGCTTTCACTGCTGTTTCTGTCAGAATCAGATAACCAGGTATGTTTTTACTTTACCAGTTCCACTGTGGGTTGCTATAAACATTTGATTTAACATAAGAGATTCTAATGGCTTCTTTAATTCCTGAAATCATAGTACAGATCGGGGACATTTAAAGTGAGAATTCACAGATCCAAGCAGGGAGCTTTATTTCTGAGAAAGAAGCAGAAGGTAGGTAGGCTCTACAGAGCTACTACCCCTTAGAAAAACTTATACACCTTTTATTTCCCTTTTTAACTTATTTGATCCAGGATTTTAAAATACTTAATTTGAATGCAAATCACTTAATGACTGTTAAAATTCAGATTCTGATTCCACATGCCTAAAGTAGGCTTAAGGAATCTGCATTTTCAACAACTTTCAAGCTGCTGTTCTTACTACTAGTCTTAAGGTTTAACCTATGGAAAGGCGTATGAATTAGTCTGTGTGTGTGTGTGTGTGTGTGTGTGTGTGTGTGTGATCAGAAAGGAAAATACTTTTCCTATAAATGAGATTATAAACAGTTACCAGATAAGGTGCTGGGAAGGTAGCTCAGTGGTAGAGCGCTTGCCTTGCATGCATGAGGCCCTGGGTTCAATTCCTCAGCACCACATAAGCAAAAAGAAAA